GAGGGTGGAGGGCAGGTGCAGGAGGGGAAGGCCCTCTAGGAGGTGGATTGATTCGGTGACTGGGGCAATCGGAATGAGTGTGTCCGAGGCAATGAGATTGGCACAGGACAGAGCAGAGTTTAGAGCTGTTGTACATAGGGTCGCTATGAGTCGCAAGCGACTCGATGGTACATAACAACAACAACAACAACAAAGACTAAAACCTGTGACATACTCCATAAGAAGTTGCATGGCTAACTCAAAGATGGTGTCTCTCTGGCAGTTCAAATCCAACAGAAGCTCCCTGAAAGACAATCTCTTCCTGTGCCTAAGAACACTAAAGGGTCAGCTATGAGTTATTTCGGACTTGAAGGGGATGAGTTTAATATTTCTTCTAATATTAAAATCTGACTTACAGATTAACTAACTGTGAAAATAGATTATTTTCTTTGGTGTCCTAATTTTAAGAGTCTTTCAGTTTAGTGATAAAAAATTGTTTATGAGGTCAATAATGCAAATATGGACTAATTTTATAAATGAGAAATAGAAGGCAGGGAGGAGAATCATTATCAAGTCACAAAGACTTAATTAACTGTGACTTTTTTTTTCCAAATGAAACAATCAAAAAAATACCCCAGCCTATGTAGGGGTTTCTTCTCATCTTGTGATATGGACTCATTTGTTCCTTGTTCTCCCGAGAGTGTCTCCTGCTTAAGAAACTTTTTTCTGTTTAAATAAACAAACAAAAACCCAACAACCCTCCAACAACCCTCCAAAAACCCATGTAGGAAAAATTTTTCGTTTTGGAAAAGAATTTCTATGCCACTTCCCTTCACGTTCTCAGTCCTACATTAGGGGAAAGGAATAAATATATAGAAACAATATGTAAACACTAACAAAGGCAATCAATACAAAGATTGACTTACCCAATTATAGTACGCTTTGAAGTTTATAAGAATTAATTATGAAACACTGCCTGAAATTTTACACTTTTATATAATAAATAAAGCACTCTATTGCTAACCTCTAACAGCAATGTATTTTTTGACAATCAAAGTTTCTATAACTTTGTGTTTTTATTACTGTCAGGAAGTAAGCCTAACTTTGTTAAGATTACTGTTATTGTTCAATCTCACTGACTTCTGCTGTGATTTCTGGCCAACTGTTATAGTGTTTCCTGTAATATTTAGTTACCAGACTTTAATCAGATTTTTAAAGCAGGCAAGACATTCTAATATAAGAAAAGGTTATTTCCTTAATATAAATGTTTCCTTCTGATACTACTTGATGAAAACAAAATAATTTAATGTTTATTTCTATTTACTGTCTGCAATGTCAAAATAATAAGGCTAGAGGTTTCCCATGAGTATTTTTTAATTAAAGAAAATTATATATATATATATATATATTTTATTCCTAAAATTTTAGATCAGTGTGGGATTGCAACTTCAATATCTTCTTTGACTCTGCTCCCCAAATCCATCAGAAATATTCTGCCAATTATCGATCCTGAATTCTGTATAGGTTCAAATATTGCTTTGTTCCTGGGTATCTATGTGTTAACAAGTCACCAACAACAATACATTAAACTTACTAGATGGCAAAAGTAGTTAAATGCTTAACTACTCTTCAAGATACTGGTAGTTCACGGAGAGAGGCGCCGTGGGAGACAGACCTAGTGATCTAATTGTAAAAGGTCACAGCCATGAAACCCCTATGTCACAGTTCTATTCTGCACACATAGGGAATACATGAACTGGAATCGACTTGATAGCAGCTAACCGGAATCCTACCATTGCAGAGTTAATGTTATCATAGTAAACTTTTTTAGTAAGCTGTTTACCAGTCTTCCTATATGTCCTGACCCCATATGAACATTTATTCATACCTTAATTTAGCTTCCAGCAATCAATAAAGCTGCATTTTTCTGCCCTCTTTGAAATAAGACCAAGTGATAAGACTTGCCTTAGCCAAAGAGGTAAGAGTGGATGTTCATGTGTTTCTTCTGGGATGATGATGTTTTATGAGGTGATATGTAATTCTCTATGCTGTCTACCCTGCCCCTCTGAACTGATAATTAGAGAGGTGTTGTGGTAGTGGAGTTCCATAAGCCTAGAACTGTTGTTATGTGATTACTAGGAAGAGAATCCCTCAATATAGACTCCATATATGGACACATAGTGTGAGCAAGAAACAAATTTGTGCTAACACTGAGATTTTTTAAATTTTCCACCACATTGCCTAGATCCTTGCATACCTTTACTGATTCACTTCATTTCCTATCCCCTGGAGTAGCTAATCTCATTCTTTAAACATCCCTCAGATACAACTGTCCCAACTCCCTTCTTTATTACTTACCCAACATACCATTAAACAATATGATGACTCTCATATTATTATCTTAGAGAAAACTAACCACCTCTTTTTATGTCCCTCCACACCTATATCATTTAAAAAAATGGAAGCCAGGTAGACTATAGATTTAACTTCCTCGATAATTTGAAATGGCTCTTCTTTACAAATAAAAAATGGGCTTTCTCTTAAGAAAAGCAAAATGTAAACAGTTTGCCACAGATAAGAGAGATACACTTGCCTACTCTTGAGTCTCAAATAACTATTGTAAGGACTGTTATTAAAAAACAATGTTTTCAAGGGTCTATAGGGTAGCAGTTGAAACAGGAGCTATTTTTTAAAAAAGTTACAAAATTTATTTCATCATCTAAGTAGGAAAAAAGATAAAAATAGGATAATGTTAACAATCCAACACTATTAATATAACATCAAAGACAAGTCTCTCAAATAATGTGCTAAAAGGCTGTAAACATAACACACATATTTAATTAAATAAAAAACCCAATTAACTTTGTAAAACCAATGTAAAAAATACAGCATATACAATTTATACATATCCAAAACCAAAACCAAGCCAAAAACCATTGCCAATGAATTGATTCTAACTCTGTGCTGGTGGCACAGTAGGTAAATGCTCAGCTTCAAGTTCAGTGGTTCAAGCTCACCAGCCACTCCAAAGGAGGACGATATGGCTTGGCTGTCTGCTTCCATAAAAGGTACAGTCTTCAAAGCTCTTTGGGGCAATTCTACTCTGCCCTACACGGTAACTCTGAGAATAAATACACATCCAAGGAGAATATGGACTTCCTTCTTCCAGTACATGCTTTCCTAAAACATGGTAAATGTTAAGTTACTAGAGAGATTGGATAGTACAGCTGACCTTAACACGGGTTTGAACTGTGCATATGGACTTTCTTCTTACTGCTATTACATGAGCTCAAGTGTTCTGAGTATCTGCTTAAGAGTATTCATTTAAAACTTAAAGTAACGCCAGCCGTCTGTGAGAGATGGAGAGAACTGCTCACACAGAGATTAGTGTCACATGGTGTTCTAAGCAGATACTCTAAACACTTGAGCTAAATGCTGTATTATCATGGTGGGGGTGTGTGTGTGTGTGAATCCTCATGTTAAGTGAACCTGTGCAGCTCAAATCCATGTTGTTCAAGGGTTAACTGTAAATGCTTTTTCTTTGCCACATCAAAACAGCAAATAATGCATTATAGCAACTTATTTTTTCACACAACATTATATTTAAAAGAAATTTCTACCTTCCATGTGGTTTTTGCTGTGATGGGAGACACAGTTGACATAGTCTATCTTTAGGTTGCTTGGCTTAATCTGGTCACTAGAAAATAAAACAAAAATATACACTAAGCATGCCAATTATTATGATTATCTTAGTTTATGCTAAGAAAAAGAAAGGAATAACATATATTAAATAATTATTATATGCCATGTGCTGTCCTAGGAGCATATTTCTATTATTTATTTGACACCTCAGAGCAACACTTAAAACAGTTATTTGCAGATCTCATTTACAACAGAAGATTAAGCTTTTGAAAAACATTAATTTATCCAATATTTAAAATCAAAGTCTAACTGGTTACAAAGTTCTAATTTTTCTATGATCCTTGATAAAGAAATGTTATGAAATTACCTAACTAAATAAAAATATCTCCAAAATGTTACTACAATGATCATTTTTCTGGAAAACAGTTGATTTTTGCTAGTGTAGTTTTTCCATAACAAATCAAATACCAACGACCTTTAAAAGAAGGCATTTAAGAAGGATTAAAAGTAGAAATAGCTAATACATTGACCTAAAATACCAGCCACTTAAAGTGTGGGAATGCTCTACAGGTTACATAAAGAAGTGCAAATGCAACGCCAGAGGTAATATGAGAAATGTGTTAGGAATTAATTAAGAATTGAACATAAACTTAGCTGCTGTATTTTTTTTTTACATTTGCCAACAGGAAAGTATCTCTTTCATGAAACTGTATTGACCTAGTAAAATATATCTCTACTTCTAAGATATAGCTACCAGAGATGGGATAATGAGAATTAAACAAGCTAGAGTTTAAATCTATGCTTTATAACCTATAGAATACATCAAAAGTTGACAGTGATGGCAACAACTTATTCTTATATTTTCCAATTTCCTAAAAATAAATAGTTGTTATAATTGGAAGCATGAGATACTTTTTAAAAAATAGAAGCTTCATATATCAAATTACCCATAGCACCCCATATTTCTCCACTGAGTATGCTCTTCCTGTTACACTTAACTGACCCCATGCTTTGAAAGCACTTCAAATAATTAACTAGATATTCATGTACACATAGATACAACAGATAATGGTGAGGGAAAATTATTCAGATAATTTCTACCTTACCTGCAGGGTACAGTCTCTTTAACACTATTGATATCCATCAGTGTACCATTTCCATCACTAATGGGGGAATCTAAATTAGTAGACCCATTACTGATGTGATCACTGCTTTCATATCCAGACTCAGTCCTCTGCATCTGCCAACCGTCACCATGAACTTTAGTCTCTCTGACGCCTTTGTTTTTCTCTGTTCCTTTTTCATTAGATTCAAGAGAACTCCTGCTTCCTGTTTCCTGCTTTAATTCATCTTCATATATGGTCATTAAACCTTTTTGTTTGGAATTCTCTTTTGGCCAATTGTTAAAACTCTGATCTTTGCTACTTTTAGGTTTACTGCTGGTATTTGATTTATGCCTTGGACTGTGTTGCCTTCTTTCACTTTCACTGAAAATGCTATCAACATTTAATGTTTCTCTCATGGGTTTCCAAGCTCGGCTCCGGATTTTACTGCTGCTATTACAGCTGCTTCCTTTATCCTTAGAATCTTGGCTGCTGTCTGTATCATAGCCAGTGCCACCGTCACTCTTAATTTTGCCAGTTATTTTCTCTCCTGGAAGAACAATCTGGGATTTACTTGAATTTGGCATTTGTGCAGAAGCTCGACTCTGATGGGCAATCTGTTCATGTTTACGTGGTCCTTTTCCTTGGCTATGGTATAGATGTGGATTCCCATACTGTCTAAAACCATTTGAGTTAGGAGGTGATCCAGAGTGGAAATGAGAAAGGTCTTCATCAATCAAATCTTAAAAAAGAAATAATTAAAATGAAAAATGAGCTCTTTCAAGAACCACTTTTACACTCACAAACCAAACTACTTTGTTCTGGAAGAAATATTAAACAGTAATAGGTAAGCAATCATTACAAGCACTTAAAATATATCACATGCTTGTTTGAGTTTTAAAGGTGATTTTTTCAGTTCTATGTTTAATGGGAAAGAGTGCTGGTTGCTTAGTGGTAAGGAGATGGTCTGTACACCTAAAAGCTGCACAGTTTAAATCCACCAGCAGCTCCATGGGAGAAAGACAGGCAGTCAACTTTTAGGCAATTCACTGTCTCTGAAAACCCATTTTGACTTGGTTCTGACTTGATGGTGCTTAACAACAACAACAACATGTTTAGGCAGTTACAACAGAAATGGTTAAATACTCTTCAAAAATGCTAAGGTAGTTTGAAGCTCTGTCTCACATACTTTGGGCATGTGGGCAGGAGAGACTAGGCCTTGAAGGACAGCATGCTTGAAAGTGTGGAAGGACAATACAGGAGAGGAAAACCCCAGATGAGATGAATTGATTCAGTAACTGGGGCAATGGCGGTTGGTGTGTTAGAAGTAGCGAGACTGGCTCAGGACAGGGCAGGCTTCAGAGCTGGTGTACATAGAGGTCTCTATGGGGTGCAGGTGACTCAACAGCACATAACAACAACAAATAACAAGGTAAATCATAAAATAATTAAAGCAATTTATACACACACAGCAGCTGCTCCGTGGGAAAAGGATGGGCAATATGTGATTAACTGCTTCTGAAAAACTGCCAAAGATGGCCGGCTATGGGTTGGTTCCAACTTGATGGTACACAGTAACAACACATATTTTTTTTAAAAAGCTAACCGTCTAACTCATAATTTTTAAAAAAAAAACACCAACCAACCAACCAAGTAGAAATCATACAATAAAATATTTCCCACCTCTTACACTAACACAGGTTTAAAAGTCTGTTAAATCAGTTACTGGAAGTGTGAAGACAGATTTTCAGTCACTTTTGGTGGAAATGCCCATGGGTGTTGTCTTCCAGAAGAACAAATGAGTCAAGTCTACCTTGACCCAGGAATTATTTTAAAAATAATTTATGCTGTGGATAGACTCTAAAGGTATCAAAATGTGTGTGTATAAATATAAATAAAAGGATATCACTGTAAAAACAATAAAAAGCATATTACTGTACAAAAACCTTAAGTCAATCTTTAAATTCTATTTTAATAAAACAAACCCCCAAATCAAAAAACCTCATTGCCATCAAGTGGTTTCTGACATGATCCACCATCAGGTTTCTGAAAACGAGAGATAGTCTATCTTCCTCTCCCAGAGCTGCACAAATCACCAGAGTGGTACAGTCTTTCGATTCGTAGCACAACAGGCTAAGCACTGTATCACCAGAAATTCTAACTACTTACATCTTTCTGGTAAATTATGATATATCCATTAAAAAAATGAACATAAAAAATTTAAAAAACCCACCGCATAATGACCTACACTTACTAACAGTAGAAAAGAGACAGTGTCAAGAATTAGACTGGGAAGGCATTTTCATTTAATCTGACTTTGCTTATAATTTTAATGTGTTATATGAGTGAATTTTATTTGTACTAAAAGTAAAGTTAAAATAAAAATATAAATATCCTCAGCTAGAAGTTAGACTAAGACCAGGAAAGGTAAAACATTTAAGTATAATGTGTATACTGCTGAAGTTATTTATTACTTTAATATTGTAAAAATTGGTTGTATAATAAAATCCTTTACATCTTTTTGCATATAAAAGGCATCCTGGTGACAATGTTGCTAAATTGTTGGCTACTACCTAGAAGGTGGTGGTGGTTGTTAAGTGCCTTGAGTCTAGATGACTCATAGCTACCTTATGAACAAAAGGACTGAACACTTGTAAAACTTTCTTCATTTCTCCAAGTTCATAGGGTTTCCAGAGGCAAGGTATTTCAGAAGTGGATGCCACTCCTCCTTCCAAGCTAGTTTTAATTGGGGAGCTCCACCAAGCACTGTCCACCATGCGTAACCATTATTGCATTTGACACAACAGTGTCACAGTGTTTAGCATCACAGCAACCATGAGTTACCTCTGTAGAGTAAATGGACAGACCAGTGCTATACCACTTAGAAGAATGTTTGACCAAAAACAATTAAAACAAACCCATCTGTATTTCTCCAAGGGAGAAAAACGTGGTGGTGGCAGTCTGCTTCTGTAAAGATACACGGCCTTGGAAACTCTCCGTGGGGCTGTTCTACTTCACCCAAACCGGGCTGCTGTGAGTTGGAATCAACTAAACAGCATGAGGTTTTTTAAAACAATGAATATTAAAAGCTCCTAACTTACCTCTAAGTCGGCCCAAATCTTTTCTTTGACCTCTCTCCAAATCTTTCCTTTGTGAGGAAAGTAAATTTTTCTGTTCAATGGCTTTCAGAGCACATTCTCTGGAAATGTCTTTTATCTTTTCCCTTTGATCATTATGACTTGATTTAACTGTGAAAGAAATAATTTTTACAATGATATTTTTTAGAAAGATCATTTTTCAAATTGTTCAATAAAAGCATAGTAGCAGCATGTGAAAAACCCAAGACTATAAATTAGAAACAAAGCATAAAACATAATGGTATTATTTGTAGGCTGAACTGAAAGTTTATTGTGATTTACCCTGTTCTGAAGGCATTTTTTTTTCTTTTTAAAACTCCAGGCATTTCCCTTAAAGCAAGAGTAAAGAGAAAAGGAGACATGCCATGAAAAGAATACTAAAAGCTGCAAGGAACTCAGGATCGCTGTGTGTCCAGGGCTAATCTAAGTGTCTTACTTCATCAAATCCTCTGAGGTAGCCACAGTTACTATCACCATTATAGATGAGGAAACTGATACAGAAAAATTTAAAATTTGCCTAAATTAATAAAGCTTGTAAGTAGTCGAATGAGAAGATAAGCACAAGCTTTCTAGTTGTAGTTTACGTTCTTAAATATATACATAGTTTTGAGGCTTACAAGTGGATGTAGAGGTCCTTGGGGGGGAGGAAGTAGCTGCTTTTTTTGAGAAATAAAATATGCTTACCTAAGGCTCTAGGCTTGACAATAAGCTATAATTTCATAAAAGTTTTAGGAAATATTTATAATAATTATTAGGTGCCAATGAGTCAAGCACGATTCTTAGTGACCCTATAAATAACACATCTGAACCCTGTCCTATACTATGCCAACTGCACAACCTCTGACATACTCGAGCCCATTGCTGCAGTCACTATGTCAATCCATCTGGTTGAGGGGTTTTCTTTCTTTCACTGTCCCTTCACCTATCCAAGCATGATGTCCCTCTCTCCAAGGACTAGCCCCTCCTAGCAACATGCTCAAAGTATGTGAGGTAAAGTTTCATCATCTTTTCCTCTAAGGAGATTCTGGATGCACCTTCTCCAAGATGCATTTTTTTTTGTCCTCTTCGTAGCCAGTGGGATGGATATTCAGTATCTCTTCACTGACATCATAGCTCAAAAGCATCAATTCTTCTGTCATCCTTATTCATTGTATAGTTCTCAGATGCACAGTAAGTGATTGAAAAGACCATGATCTGAATCAGACACACCTTAGTTCTCAAACTAACATTATTGCTCCTCAGTGATTTGCGGAGGTCCCTGATTGCAGACTTTCCCAGTGCAATATGTCTCCTAATCTCCTGACTGATGGTGCCAAGTGTACTGATTGTGGATCCAAGAAAGCTGAAGTCACTGAAAGTTTCAATCTTTATCTAGCAAGATGTTGCCTATTGATTCAGTGGTGAATTTTTGTCTTCTTGATGTTGAGATGCAATCTAGACTGAAGGTTCCAGTGTTTGATCTTCTGCAGTGAGTCCTCCTCACTCCCAGCAAGCAAGACTGTGCCATTTATTGATACTTGTTTATTCTAGATCTTATGATCTTTGACTAACTATATTTAGGGTTCATTAATTAACATATTTAAGTGGTTAATTCTGTTATTTACAGAATCAATCTGAATATATTGGTAATTGTTTTTAATGTACCATCAGCTTGGAACTGACTCAGGTGACCCTCTGGTTGGTTTCAGAGGCAGTAAATCACATAAGAAGTGACTGTCCTTCTTCCCTCCATGGAGCAGCTCATGGATTAGAACCTCATGTCTTTGGTTTGGCAGTAAACAACTCTTTTCACTAAACCACCAGATCTCCATAATACCATGATATAAACTAAACTGCCAAGGGCCTACAAAAATACACTGAGGAACAAACACTAGTTGAACAAAACTATTGCTCTAAGAAACCTGCTTAAGTTAAAAAACAAAAATATATGGTATAGGAGGGGAAGGCCCTTTATGAGGTAAATTGACTCAGTGACTGGGATAATCGGGATGGGAGTGTCAGAGACAGTGTGATTGGCACAGGACAGAGCGGAGTTTAGGGCTGTTGTACATAGGGTCACTATGAGTTGCAAGCGACTCGACGGCACGTAACAACAACAATTTGCTATTTTCTCTTCATGACCAAGAAAATTCAATGACTGTGCTCCTTTTGTTTAGTCCTCATCAGGAAATGAAAATTCATTTCATGACTGAAGGAAAAGCTTAACTGTTCAGAACAATGAAAATGACAATTTAAAAAGGAATACCTGGTTCTCTACCTCCACTTGTTTGAATGTGGCTCTGATTAAATGACGAAATATTATCTGTTTGAAATTTTGGATTTTCTCTCTGCTTTACTTGATAGCCAAATCCATTTTCTTTTGAATTATCTGATTTATAAATTGAGGGTTTTTCACAACCTTAAAAAGACAAATATGCATTATCTCTCTTATCCCAACAGAGTATCTTTCAGATCTTTTTAATATAGCGGATTAAATTACTATAACACTTAACAGAATTGACAATTCAAGAATTTCTATATACTTTATAATGCATCCATTTGTCCTAGGTGCATTATACTTTCTAGTTTATGAACTCAACTGAAATATTAACATTTACACTTAGGTGTAAGTCATGAGCCATACAGAACTCTTCTGTGCTTGTGTGCTCATAAAAAGGTCTATCTCCTGGAGGTGTATGTGAGACCAATAATAAAGAAAGGCACCTTTCAAAAGAATAACCAAGGATTAGAATTTCCTGAACTGAATTTTATTGAAATCAAATTCTGACACTGTATACTGAATATGTTATTATTCCTAGTACGATTATAATAACAGAAAAATACTTGTAAAAATTAAGAGAGAAAAGGAAAATTACCCATATTTCCTGCACTGGATTTATAATGTGAACAGTGGATGACCTGCCTGAGTGCATCTTCAGTAGAGACTGCAGTGCCATCTGGGTTAGCATAAAACAAAAGCAGTGGCTGGAATTGGCAGCGGATACACTTGGAGACCACATCTTTCCATCTAGTTCCAACCTGAAAGATCGGAAAATTCCAAAACCATAGGATTAAAAACCAAACCAAATAATATAATCAATGAATCACAAAGAAAGGCAGAGATTATGAATATACTGCATATTTAAAAAACTTAAAGGCATTTTCATGCCAGCAGTTACACTATCCCTCATATGATCTGTCTTAGGAAATACTTTAATATCTTTTAAAAGCATATCATTAAAAGTTGATGCATAAGGGAGCTCTGGTGGCCTAGTGGTAAGAAGCTGCACTGCAATCCCAAAGATGCACGGCTCAAATCCACCAGATGCTGTGCTGGAGAAGGAGGGGCAATATCCCCCTGTGCCAGTCAGATCAGATTCAGTGGTACACAACAAGGGAAAAGAAAAAAAAATTTAAAAAGTTGATGTATAACCTTTTAAACTTTGTATAATAATAAATAGGGAGTTTTGGCACCACACTGGTAAGGAGTTGTGCTGCTAACCCAAATGCATCATCCCTCTGATGGTTCGTATCTACCAACAGCTTCCTGGGAGAAAGATGGGCAATCCTCTCCCATGGAATTTAAGCTTCAGAAACCTGCTGGAGGTCAGTTCTGAGTTGATTCTTACTTGATGGTATTGAACTGAGTCGATGGTTTATATGTTCTTCTTATCAGACTAGACATTTTTTACTTAATATCATTTTGAAATGGCATACTGCAATTTTTATTTTTATGTTCCTTAATGCTAAATTCTGAGAAGTTCCTTTCAAAAGTAACGGGCTTTGTGGTGACATATAGTTTAGTCATACAGGATCAGTTTAAATCCTTCAGAGGGATGGTTTTAAGTTTTGTTATGACAATCTTCAATCCAGGGATAATTTAATTGCATTAAGAAGGTAATCATTTCCTGAGAACTCTATGTCATGCCCTGTGTATCACAAGTCTCTCCATGCTGGTTGGTGGGAATGAAGACTATTCCTAGCTCTGCAGGAGCTTAGAGAATTGCCAGCTTTCTGTTTTCCAGTGCCCAGCTTATGCAGAGACTACTATTTAGACAAATATTTAGGGAACTGTGCCAATTTCCAAAACTCTCCCTAGGTAAAGTTCCCTTTCTGATATTTACCCCTGGAAATTTTAGCCACCTTGGCTTGCATAAGCTCCAATTTCTGTCTTATGAGCCCAATGAGATCACTGTGCTTTGTTTGGGTTCATTCTACCTTGGTAATTATTGCCAAGCAATAAACTGGGGTGATTGTATAGTTCACTTCCTTTGTTCTCTTTGTAAAATGGCCTGCTGCACAAGGTCTGAAAGAAGTTGTTCACCTATTTTGTTTCCTAGTTTTTCAGTGAAAGATCAAATTTTATAACAATAAAATTGGATAAAATTAGGTCATCACTAAATAACTAATTATTTGAATTATGCTGAATCAGTAAATGGTAGCCTTCTTAAATGCCCCTTTGTTGGATATTAAAACAAAAGTTATTAACAAAATTCTAGCCAAAAGAATTCAAAAGCATATAAAAAAAATTCATCATGACCAAGTAAGAATCCTAACAAGATTACAGTAATGGTTCAACATAAGAAAAACAGTTAATGTTTTACATTAATAAAGTAAGAACAAGAACCATAAGAATCTGTCATTGGCAAAATAGACACCTCTTCCCAATTAAGACATTTGACAAAATTGAAATAAAAGGGAATCTCCTCAACATAGTGAAAAGTATATACACAAAACCAAAAGCCATCATTCTCAATGGAGAGAGACTAAAAACATTCCCTTGAGAACAGGGACCAGTTAAGGCTGCCCACTATCATCACTCCTACTCAGAATTGTATTGGAAATTCTAGTAAGCTCAATAAGGCAAGAGAAAGAAATAAGAGGCATCCAAATTGTCAAAGACGTAATGAAACTGTCACTATATGCAGATGACATGACAAAGTTAACTTAGAATAATCCCAAAGACTCCACAACACTATTATACCTAGTAGACCAATTTAGCAGATTGGCAGAATACAAGATTAATATGAAAAAGTCAGTGGAATTTCTTTACAGCAACAAAGAAAACACAGAAAAGGAAACTAAAAAAGCAGTACCATTTACAATAGCCAACCACAAACTGGGATACTTGAGAATAATGAGAATAAACCTACTAGAGACACAAAAGACCTTTATAAGGAAAAACAATAAAACACTACTATAAGAAGCAATAAGAGATCTAATTAAATGTAAAAACATTCCCTGTTCATGGATAGAAAAGGCTCAACATGGTGAAATTTACAATCCTAACACAAGCAATCTATGAGTTTAATGCAACACCAATTTAAATAACAAATTCTTCAGGGAGCTAAAAAACGCAATTTTCAGTTTTATTTAGAAAGGAAAGAGATCCAGAATAAGCAAAGCTCTTCTAAAGAACAAAAATCAAGTGGGAGAAACAGCATTCCTTGATCTCAAAAACATACTACACAGTGGTTGTAATCCAAAATAACATGGTATTGATACAATGACAGACATATAGGTCAATGGAATAGAATAAGAATGCACAAATCAACCTATCAACTTTTGGTCAACTGATATTTGACAAGGTAATACTAAAAGTCTTGGGAATCAACAGCCTCTTTAACAAATGTTGCTAGCAAAACTGGCCATCTGTCTGCAGAAAACTAAGAGAACCTATATCTCACACCATACACAAACTCAACTCAAAGTGGACCAGAGATTGAGGGGTAAAACCAAAACTCATAACGATCCTAAGAGACAAAATGGGAACAAAATTAGAAGTCCTGGCCTACGGCTTGTGAACTTAGCTAAAAATGCACAACTAGAAGAAGGTAAGATCAATAAATGGGACCTTCTTAAAACTGAATCCCAATGTGCATCAAAAACTTTCTTCAGTAGAGTAAAAAGAAATCCCATAGATCTAGAAAACTCATTTGGCAGCATTTCAGATAAGGGCCTCATAACTTCATCTTACTTGGATCCACAATTAACACCCTTGGTACCAGCAGTCAGGAAATAAGGAAATGCACTGAAATGGGAACATGTGTAGTTAGGGACCTTTCCAAATTATTGAGGAGTAATGTCAGTTTTTGAGGCCTAAGGTGATTCAGGCCATGGTCTTTCCAATCACTTGCTATGCATCTGAGAGCTAGACAATGAACAATGATGATAGAAAATTGGTGTCTTTGTGCTGTGATGTTGGGGAAGTGCACTGAACATCCCATGGACTGCCAAAAGAACAATTAGGTCTTAGGGAGGGTGCAGTCAGAGTGCTCTTTGAAGGCAAGAACAATGAAGCTCTTTGCCTCACATACTTTGGGCATGTTGCTAAAAGGGACCGTTCCTTAGAGAGGGACACGATGATGCTGGGAAAGGTGGAAAGTTAGAGAAGACCCTGAACCAGTTGGATTGACATGGTGACTGCTGCCATGGGCTCTAGTGTGTCAGAAAGTGTTAAGATTGCACAAGATAAAACATGGTCCAGATATGTTGTTCACAGGTTGCTGAATCATACTCGACAACAACAACCACCACCAAAGTCTACAGAATACTTCAGTGCCTCCACAAAAAAATACTGATAACCCAGTCATAAAATGGGAAAAAGACGTGCAAAGGCTCTTCACAAAGGAGGACATCTGGATGGTCAAGAAACACAGGGAAATGGTTCAAAATCATAAGCAATTAGAGAGATGCAAATCAAAACAATGAGATACTACCTCATTCCAGTAGCACTAGCAAATTTCAACAAAACAGCAAATAACAAATATTGGATGCATATAGATTGGAACTCTTATGCACTGCTTATGGGATTGTAAAATGCTATAGAAGGCAGTTTGATGTTTTCTCAAGATGGACACAGAAACCCCGTATGACTCAGCTAATCCACTGCTGGGAAATCACAGCTAAGACACAAATGGACATTTTGCACACCTATGTTCATAGCAGTGTTATTTACATTAGCAAGAAAAAAAGAAGTTGCCAATGCCCACCAGCAAACGACTGGATTGAGAAATTATAGTACATTCACATAATAGGATACTATGCAGCATTAAGAAGTTAATAATTTTGTAATACTTAACTTGGGAGAGACAAAAGAACATTTTGCTGAGTGAAATATCTCAGTCACATAAGGACAAATATTACATAAAGTTACTACTGTGAAAATAAGAAGCTCAGTGAGTAAGATGTATCCTAAAGGGAAAGGAGAGCAGGGGAGCAGGAAAAAAGGGGAGGAAAATCACTGGAATAGCAGAGTTTAGTGGGTGAGGTGGGGGGGTGGTGAAGCAATGAAAAAGGTTTAATGTGGCTTGAAAAAATGGAGTCAAAATGGGTACAGAGTAATGGTAATTAATTATATCAAATACAACATATACCAAAATGATTGTATAAAAGACAAAGAGCATGTACAAAAGGTGATGCATATGAATGATTATATGAAAACCAATAACAAATAAGAAAAACTTGAACTTCTATATCATTTGCTCCCAATAATCTAAGAAATTTTATTTTCAATCAGTTTACTCATTAGTAATAGGATCATTATAGCCAGTAAGCCTGACAGCAGTATAGTCAAGATAACAGTTTTTAACTGAGGCTATACTGAATGACTTGTGGAATTAAAAAAAAAAAATCAGATACTCTGCACTTAAACCATGCAATCAAGAATTGAAAGCCTTTTTGAAAGTTCTACAGTTTATGACATACATTCCTTATTCGTTAGTCTTCTAGGCAGTATTTTAAAGTTTGAATGAATTATCTACCAAATGATAGAACTAATATATCTAATCCTATATATTAACAAAAATTTTAGTACAACTGCCATTAAAAAAAAGGGAGAGGTAAGATTTTAGATCATGACACACAAAGCTACTGTGAATGCATGTATGCAGCAATTATTAAACTAGTTTCAAGTGCATACTCATGTACTAGCATTTATATTATTTTCTATTTCATTACTGTGGAAATGAACTATTTCAAAGTTGGCATCAATCATAATATGCCAAATTTCAAGAAGAAAAGGAAGTCTTAACTGAATGATAGTATATGATTTATTCTGTATTTATTCTTAAAAAGGAAAAAATTCACAATAATTAACCTATAAAAATGTCATTTACCTCTTTCACATTTGCATCATCAAAGAACACCCATTTGGAACTCTTGGTATGAAAAGCAAAGGCACAATAATGTCGGCTGGTGTAGCAGATTAAACCAACAAGGCGAAGTTCACTATTTTTGGCATTTTCATCAGTAACCCTATAAAAAAGCTGTTTGGAAATGTATAATGCACATTTTAGACTATATCTCTGAAAGCTGAGGCACAATAAGCTGATCAGGTATTTACCTCTTACAAAAATATTTTCTAATGCATACATTATCAATCCAATGTTAGTACTGAAAATACCACTGACTATTGCAAAGTTAACAGAGATGTTACATTTTTGTTTGTAAGGAACAAAACAATTTGTAGGAAACAAAAGTAGTTTATAAGAAACATTAAGTCCAAGGAAATAAGTCTATCATATAACTTAGTTCAAGTCTCTTGTGACTCTTTACATAAAAACTCAAAATACAAGTTACAAACTTCCTTAATATTCTGAACTGTATATCTGAAAATAACATTAAAATTATCTAATATATATTTAATTGTAATATCATATGACCCAAACTATATTCAATAGTAAGTATATCAAGAAATTAATATTGTAGATACATTTTAAATTTAAGCCTTTTCTAAATACAGTAAAATTTGGAAAAGCTAGAATCTATGTAAAGTTTTCTTGTCAGAGAAGGAAAATGCAAAAATTTTCCACAAAAATGAGTGACAGAAAAGTAGTAGTATACAACACACACAAAACTGGTGTAAATAGACACACATATATCAAATATTTTCCAAGGTGAAAGAGATAAGGTGTATAAAAAGTCAGTTTGGTTTATAATGGAAACTCTGTCCTATTTTATACAAGAAAGACATTCCAGGGAGCTATTTTGATTAAATTTAGTCTTATCAGAGTTAATTCTGAATATTGTTTTCTTTAGAAAAAAATTAATTTTGTTAAACAAAATTAAGTGTACCACAACACAGGAAGCTATTTAAAAATAAAAAGGAAGAGAACGAAAATATTTGGGATACCCCAGGAAGATACAGATGCGTAGCTAGATTCCGAACCACCTCTTCAGTCAAGTCAGAATGCTCAGAATCCCACACTAAACCAACTGTAACAATCTCTGGACAGTTCATTAAGACACGACGAATTTTTATTTTTTGGCCACAGTTACTCTTTAAAAAAAAACAGAGAGAATTTTTTTATTATTAAAATGGATATATCACAGACAGAGCCTTACAGATCATATATTAAAATGACAAATAATAACATGTCTAAAATTTATTCCTTCAATAAGGTAGTAATGTACTTTTAACATATTATTTTAACCTATTACTAATTAAATGAAAGTTTACCCTAAATCAGAGTTCTCTCTCTCTCCCTCCCTCTCTCTCTCTCTCTCTATATATATATATGTACACACAGTTGCTAATGAAAGATCAGTGGTTCAATTCACTGGTTGTTCATGGGAAAAAGGCTCTCCTCTAGGAAGACTTAACAGCCTCAGAAACCCAATAAAGTGTTACATGAGTGAGAAGTGACTAGATAGAAATGGGTAACAAATATAAGTTTGTATGTCTGCCTGCCTGCCTGATCTCTCTCTCTCCTCTCATTTTTTTTTTCTCTCTCAGGGAGCTCTGGTGGCCCAGTGGTAAGAAGCTGTGCTCTGAGGGAGAAGGATGGGCCTTCTCCTCCTATTGGATTTACTACCTCTAAAAATCGGCTGGAGGATTAGCTATGGGTCAGTTCCAAGTAGATGGCACCCAACAATAACCAGACCTACACATTGACTGGGTGCCAATAAGATGGAGCTGACTCACTGCTGACCCTCTAGAAGATTTTCAGAGGCTGTAAATTGCATGGGAAGAGATTGCATATCTTGTAAGAATCAATTATCACTTAATTAGCACTTAAAGGATGTAAAAGAAAAAAGTAACTCCTTTCACCAAACAACCAATTTCAAAACATAAAAAAGCTCAATCAGCATGGTCATTAGATGCCAATGAGTTAACAACAACTCATAGTGACCCTATAAACAAGAGATCTGAATCCTGCCCTATCTCCTGACAGCCTCATAATCTCAGCATATGCTACTACTATAAAGCCTTCTTTCTCTAAATAAGATTTTTTTTAAAAACTGATAAGCTGAGATAAGCAGAGGATGGACTATAAAGAGTTATCAAAAATATTGAAAAATAATATCTTAACATTAATCCCATTAGCATGAACCTTATTTTTTTTTTTTTTTAAATTGACAAATACAGAAGACTAAGTACCTTCGGCTTATACTTACAGGACATTTTCTGTAGTCATCTGTGGTATTTGCTGCTTGAAGCAACTCTGCAAACATTTCAGGCTTAAAGCGCTCATGTCTTTCCATCATTCTTTCAACTTCAGTGCTGCAAAAGAAACAGTTCCAAATCTAGCCTAAGCATTGAAATCAGAGCTAACACATTACACCTGAAAGATACCAAGTAGCCATATAAAGCTTATAGCACTGTTTCTGTTTTAAATCATGACTGTGTCTGGGGGAAAAAGAAAATTTTCCACAAAATTAGAAGTATGAGAATATAATAAACAGCAAAATAAATACTGTGCCATTTTAAATTCACTTTCTTAGTCATGTTTTTACATAGTATTAAGTACCTGTAAAACCTAGTATTTTCAAAAATAAACAAAATATAAGCTGAAGCACTTTTACTAGCTTTCGCTCTCAGGTGCTCTAGGGTCTGTTTTCATTAACATAACTGTCCTAGAGCTGGTTATATTTTATAAAATTTTACAGTTCAAGAGTATACATAATCCACAAAACAACCATTCTTTTAAAGCACTTCACAAATACACTGTTCTTGTAAGCTGCTGTCCAGACAGTTCTGACTCACAGAAGTACTATGTGCCACAGAACTAAAACGCAGTCCTGCACTGCTGTCATATTCACTCCTTGGTTTAAGCAAACTGTGGGAGGGAGGCATTGTGTCAAACTGTCTTGCTGAGGATCTCCCCCTTTATCACTGATACTCCTTTACTAACCATGATGTTCTTCTCCAGTGACTTGTCCCTCTTGATATTTCCAAAGTACATGAATAAATGTCTTGCCATATTCACCTCTAAGGAACATTTTGGCAATGCTTTTTTCAAAGCAGAAATCATCTTTCTTCTGGCAGTTTAGGGTATATTCAATGTTCTTCACCACCCATAACTCAAGGGCATCAATTCTATGGGCTTCCATGTTTATTGTCCAGCTATGATATACATGTGAAATGACTGAAAATACTGTGGCACACCTTAGTCCTAGGTAACATCTTTGTTTTTAAATTTAAAAGGTTTTTTGGTAGTCGATTTCTCCAATGCAATACCCTAACCAATGCTTCCATGGGTATTAACTGTGAATCCCAAGAAAATGAGACCCTTGACAATTTCATTATCAAGGACAAACAGAGTAGACAGCACTGAATCGGGTAAGTTCATTCAAATTGTGTCTATTTCTTTTTTTTAACTGCCTGTATCAGAGTATTGTGTAACATGACAGACTGTAAAAAGAGAGATGTGGGCTCCAATCTTGGTCTATTTACTAACTCAACCTCATTATATCTGTATCTTCAACAAAATTGGGTTTTTTGTTAAAATAAAATAAGCCATTTACATAAAGCCTGGAATGTGGTAAGCATTTAATAACTAGGATTCAAGACTTAGTACCAATAAAAAAGAGATGATGATAAAATTTAAATTCTGGGATTCTGCAATCTAATCCGCACAGCAGGTCAGGCAGAGTTCAATAGAGATTTAATTCTATTCTAAAACATAGCATCAGATCAGTAAAATTTTATTAAAAAGTTTCAATGTTTTAGAGCTTTTAATTTGTAGTCTATCCTTGATTAGACATTATCCTACTTTTCACACTAAGAGACAAAAATGATTTTATAAATTGACTTAAATTTATGGAATATTTCTCTAAACCAAATAATTTATATAAGGAAGAGAGTAAGTACATCCAAAGAGTTATTATTCAATAATTTTTAAGAAATTTTGTATTATACCCAAGAAAGCCTTGAAGTTCAATTTTTATCATAAAATAGATAAACAAGATATTCATGCAATATTGATAAAAACAATAGGAGTATTTAGCAACTGTTGCACTGATGCATTCAAATTGATAAATTACTGCTCCACATTATGTGGCTCTGTATTAAAATTTCTGCAAACCCTTACATGTTATGTGTCCTATACATAAAATATTTACACTCCTAAATCTCTGCTGCTGTTCTGACAGTGTTCAAACAATTCCTATAAAGTCAAAGAATCATTTCTAACTGACTAGTTTTCTACATTTTTAGCTAGGTAATCGAAAAAAGAGATGAAGGAGGAATGGGAGCAATGGACAATGTGAGTTGGAGGGAAAATGTGAAAGTGGTAAGAGAAAAGGGGAGGAAACAAAGGAAAAGGAAATTATTGTTGTTGTTAGGTGCTGTTGAGTATGACTAACAGC